TATCCAATGAGCGAGCAAGGCGAGCATCGAATTGCGAAGCAATCCGAAATGAACTGCGAAAGCAGTTCCGGGGGTTGGCGAGCGTCAGCGAGCAGGGGGCGAAGCCTCTTAGTAATAAAAATAAAATAACAAGAAAATGGAAAAAAAATTCCGAAAAAAAGGAAAATTTTTTTTAAAAATATCCGGAAAATAAAAGATATAATCTTTTCATCATCTCACACGATTATATCCGCAAAAAAGAGCGCTTTCTAATACTGTATATAGCCAAAGCAAAATATATCAATACAATAGTGTGAGAAGCACTCAAAAAATTTTTACAAAAAAATTACAACAAATAAAATAGAACACAATAAGTAAAAATATCACGTAAAAACAGAAAATAAAACAAAGAAAAAACAGAATAAAACATAATCTATAAAGCGAGTAGCGAATTCAAATGAACTTACATGAACGGGAAATTTTTCAAGAATGATTTAAAAAATTTTCGAAACAAGATTGCCAGATTAGAAAATATGAAACAAAAAACCGCAAATTGGGGTAAAACCGTAAATACAGGTGTTTGTATTAAAGTGCTTTCCTACTCTGCAGTACTGAAATGCGTTTGATGTGTTAGTAACCAAGGATGGACCCGAAAATGGATGTGCCCAAGGTAATATTATACTGGATAATTTAAAGAAGTTGACAATTAATAATCTTAGAAAATTAATATTTATTTAAGAAAAAAAGTAGAAAATAGAAAAGAGAAAGAAACATGAATTGCCAATTTCGCACATAATTTTAGCCACGGATTTGCCTGATATGGATTAGCACGTAGAAAAGTTATATAAATTAACAAAGAATTTTTTTAGTAAATAATTTTAGCCACGGATTTGCCCGAAATGGATTTGCACGTGGAAAAATTATATAAATTAACAAAGAAATTTTTTAGTGAATATATCTACAATAATATACGATTAACTCAATGATTTTATATAGAATTTTATTACTTTAGTTGGGAATCCATTGTTTTTTATAAAACTTCGAAAGATTTTATCTATTTGTTTTTTGGATAAATAAAGTTTCATATTAAATACTTATTTAAAATTAGCAATCGCAAGGAACTATAGGGGGCGTTGTTGTATGAGATTATGTACCTGCGATTTCTATATGAACAGTCATTCAGTTACTCTAGAGACGTCTTTAATGTGGCGTGTAGCATTGCAACGTTCCTTCTTTATTGTGGCTAATTAAATTTAAAAAAGAAAAATGTTTGATATTCTTTCTTATGCAAGCGAAAACAAAATGGTATCTCTCTCTTTTTTTTTCTTTTTTTTTTTTAGAGAAGGAACATCCAAAACACATCGGAAAATATTTGTAAATAAAAAGAAAAAAATGTGTATGTTCTTATAAGAGTTAAAACCTAATGCCCGAGAAATAGTTTTACTAAATTTAATGATATAACATGAAAGGCCTATTTAAACTTTACATTCCATAGTTTTAAGAATCATATTACTTCAAAAATTAAAATGAGCAAAAAGTATACATAAGCCTCAAAATCTTATGAAATTTAATTTTGTAAAAAAAGTTTTTTGACAACAATTTTTATCAAAAAATTTCAAGTTTCAATAAAAATCATTATTTAGAAACTAAAAAACGTAAAATAAAGAATGCTGACGAAACGAAATCAAACAATTCTTTTTTGTCGCCATTTTTTAGTGCTGCGAAAATTCGTCTTTAGGATTTGCCGAAAACAAAACAAGATGCAATTTTACTTTTTCAGGAGCGAAATATTTTACCGAAAAAACGAAAATGTACCAATTCCCACGATATGAAACTTTATCTTGGTAAACGTACGTTTGGAAATGTTATTTCATTTGGAATCTTATTTATCAGAGTTCATATGGCGATATGATTGTTTTGAATCTATGCTAAACTCTATATCGGCTCATTTTCCACCGAAATCCGATTGACTACTTTGATTTTAAATAAAGCGTTTTATTTTATGATTTGCCGCAAAAATTTTAAGTCATCGCTAGGTATGCAACTGATTATTTCCAGAGCTGACTGTCTAAGATGGTTTTCGATATGAGTTTGCTTGTTTGCAGAGGAATTCAGATCAGATCAAAATGGAAAAAAAAAAACTCTTGGCAGTCCCTCTGAGGGATCAATACAAGATCTTAAGCATTGAGTTTCAACCTCACGAGAGACCAAGTTTTGAGATTCCGCCAGGCCAAACGGGGTGAGTTTCTTAAGCCTTTGGTTATTGTGCCAAGTGTGTAGATATAAGGAAGTACGATGATTACGGCCGTAGCTGTATATATTATAGTAGTATTTTACTAAGTTTCTTCTTCTTCTCATATGCAAAGGTTGTAAGTTTGGCTCGTACAGTGCTATATCAGATGGGCAGCTATTTCTGAGTTCGAAAATGATTCGAGTGGCACTCAGTTATACTCTTTCTAATTTCTGAGCGCTAATATTATCTGAGATAATATTTAATTCAATATTATCTCAGAAGAGGAAAATGCCGTGCCTCGGGCGAATGAAAACAGCGCCCTTAACTCAATTTTGAGAAATAAATCTTTTTTTTTTAAATGCCTTATAAATATTATTATGCATTTATAAACACATTCATCGCCCAATTCACAAAATTTCCTTCATTTTGATTTGGCCATAAACAAATTCATTAATGACTTGTATTAATTCACCTCTATTTACAGATCCATTGATTAGTACTCTTTCATCTCTCATTTTTACTTTATTCACTCGCTGTATCCAAAACCGTTCATGATGCCAGTTTTCATAACGAAACGACAAGCATACTCGTAATAAAATGTATGTGAAATATACTATTTTAAAAATATAACCGTTTAAAATAAATGAAACAAAACACATGAATGAAATAACGGACTGTCGTTATAGTTACATTAAGTGATTATCCCCCCCCCCAAAAAAAAAACTTTTGAGAAAGCTTAGATCTACTCAGACTAATATTGGTAGATATAAATATATATAAAAAAATAGATAAGATAAAAAAATAGATAAGATAAGTGCAACAGTAAATACAATAATAATAAACGTTTAGATAAGTCAGATGAATAAAGAAGTTATCGAGCCCGCTATCAGCAAAGTACTGAGAAAAAAAGTCTTACTTTAGTTTCCCAGAAAAATCATTTAAATAATTATTTTAAATATACATCGAAAAACAAAATATGTGAAACATTGTAAAAACTTACATATATGCTTTTTATATATGGGGTTACACATGTATGGAGTTAGATAATGTTAGTATCAAACTCCATATATATGATAATGATAATGTAGTTTGATAATGAAACTTAACATTTAATTTAAAAAAAGGGAAATAAGTTTTATGGAAAAAGAGTTTGAGTTATTAATTTAATCGGGACTTTTCCCGTCTGGACTCTATGGTGTCGTGGAGACTGGAGCTTTCTCTTCCGGCCAGGCTGGCGCCTTTCTATGAGGAAGTAGACGATGCAATTCGGTCAACTCTTACATATACACCGAAGAGCCATTACATTATGACCACCCTCCATCTATAACAATGGGCTTACACAGGTTTTCATGGTTTCTCGCCCAGGAACAATGTTTTCATGGGGCACATTAGGACCCATAATCCTCATAGAACAATCCCTGACGTCTGTAAGCTACATGAACATAGCTGCAGACCAGGTTCACCCATTCATGGCAACAGTTTTTCCTGCGGGGGATGGTGTTTACCAACAGGATAACGCACCACGTCATAAGGGTCGAATCGTCATGGATTGGTTCGAGGAACATTCCAGTGACTTTCAAGTCATGTCTTGGTCCCCAAATTCGCCTGACCTTAATCCAATAGAGCATTTGTGGTCCTACTTGGAAAACCAAATTCGTGCTGCCACGCTACCCCCTAGCAATGTGAGGGAATTGCAGGACCAGTTGATGAGCGCTTGGTACCAGATACCTCAGACTACCTATCAGCACCTTGTGGAATCAATGCCACGGCGGGTGCTAGCAGTTTTGAGGGCTAAAGGTGGTCCTACATGTTATTAGCAGGGTGGTCATAATGTAATGGCCCTTCGGTGTATATGTTTCTTGTCAACTTGAAATTTACTTAAGATCTTAGTAATTATCTAATTAACCTTTTGGTTTTGTTTAAAAAAGTCGCAATTTCTAAAAAAACCCCGCTAAAATTTGTATAAAAAACTTAATACTTACACAAAATATTAAGATTTGTATCAGCAAATTAACATTATATGAATACGTTTGACACACAGGCTCAATTGACACAAAATTAGAGCTCATTCTCCAAGATCATTACTCCTCTCGCTGTTTTTCTCTTGCATTAAGAATATTGACTTGTTTGTTGGATGGTTCCTAAATCATAAATCATTCTATTTAATAAGAAACAAGTGGTTTCTCTGCAACACACTCTTCTTTCCATATTTAGTAAAACTTTTACTTAGAAAACTTTAACCATAAAAAAAAATTCACCTAAGAATATATAACTAATAAACGATAGCATATTAATATACTTTAAAGCAAACAATACTTTAATAAAAGGAGGGAATAAATTTAATGAACATTAATTTGGGTTCTCGCTCGGCACACTATTTACTTAGTGCTCCGGGCGACAGCTCGTCTTGCTGCCTCTTTCGCTGGCCTAGGCTACAAGTAGAATTAAATACAACTTAATCTCTCGACGGAAATTTTTCGACCATCAAGAATTATTAAATGTCAACTGGAGTTTTTTGTGGTTTGAAATTATATGTTTAAACCGATTTTTTGAGATATTATCACCAAAAGGAATTTAATATGAAGGAAAAGTCCTATTACCAAAAATTTTAATCTCTTTCAGACTTTCTACAAGCAAAATTATTTCCCAAATAAAATTTATCGTGAATGGAAATTTCATCCACTTTTTTACCAACTAGAGAGCAAAAGTTTCAGCTGCAGCTTTGAGTCTAATGATAATATAAGTTACAATTATTTTTTAAATGTTGTAAGCAAGAGTTCTGACGTAATTTTCCAAATAATTTCTGACGTGAGCACCTTTTAAAATGTAAAATTAAAAAGAAGATAAAAAGGCTTTTTAAAGCGAACTTTAAAGGAACTATTTTTGACAATGAAAAATGTAGAGTGTATCACTTTCACAGTAAACTTAAATCACTAACAAAAATTTCCCTCTCGCTTTTTGAAAATGATGCAGCCAACGTTTCTCGTTTTATGAGAGAAAACAAATGGATTTTTATCCTTTTAAATCCAATTGAAGAACATATTTTATTTGAAGTTTTTTATTGTTATTTTTTCACTATCCTAATTTAACTTAACCACATTAATATCTAACTACAAAATGTGCCCTATATAGTTACATGAAAACAGTGGTAGTACACATTTGTAAATATCACATATTACTTTTCAATACCTATCACTAATAAGAAAACGAGGACCAAATAAATAAGGAAACGAATAACTAAGAAAAAAAAGGATAACAAAGAAACAAATAAGAAATAACAAGGAAGCAAATAAATAAGATAATAAGGACCATCGATTCCAGATAATATATTATGCTTAATATATTATCTGGACACAGATAATTATATTATGCTTAACAGAACTATCCTGTTATTGAAAAATAAATCCGAATAATGACGTCCATGTGCTACCACCTTTTATTCTTTTTTAAAAGAACTGTGCTTTTAAAAGGACGCGAATTACAAATAAGTTAAAAGTGGTTATTAATTAGATTTCTTAGCATCATGGGAAAAAAAGCCTTTTTTTTCTGAAGAAAAATCGAATCAGCGTTTCGATTTCTTGGAGTCCTTAAACTTACCTTCATGACATTGGCAGGAAAAAAAGAAAAAAAATTTAATGGCCAAATTGCAAATGGTTTTATTAAAGGGTTCGCCCTGGTGTTCTAAATATCAAATTAATTGCAAGCTTTTCGTTCTCTCTAGAGGCGGCATATTGCTCGATCGCCCATCATTTCTTTTATGAAAGGTTTTGATTTTTTTCAGAAAGAAATATTTACTGGATTAAGTATTTTCTTATAATTATCAGATTTTTTGAGGGAGGCCTGGGTTGAGATGATCACTATGCGGAAACATTATTATTGCCTCATGATGTCTAAGAGTGGGTTTCAACAATAACAAGATTCAATACGAAGTAGACAAAATTATGTAAACATACATCCTTATTGGAACGAAATTATATTCTAATCGACGCTGAATGATATATCTATGACTGTGATAATGCATCAAATTACCGCTAAGGGAATACCGAAAATCAGCTGAAAAAATGTATTCGGCATTTTACAATTCTTAGTACCTTGTGGTGGCAGAAGATATTAATTCCGAGTTATAAGATATGGAATACTACTATGAAGACAATTTTTTCTCCCTACTACTTAAAAAAGATACTTAAAACTACTGTTAAAGTATACTTAAAGATACCGATAAAGTAAATCGGATTCTACTAATATTGAATAAAAATAAAAAGATTCTACGGTCATCAGGTAGCAAAAATTTTTCAACAAAAAATAAGCATGTTTTAAGCACTTTTCAAGCATTCGAAAAATACTTTTAAACACTTTGGAAAACTATCATAATTAGACAGAGTTAAGAAGTGTTTGACAAAATGATGGTTTTATCCGGCTGTATTTGCTTGCCAGTGACGAAGATGATGTCGCGTCACCAACGATGAAATTAACAAGAGAAATGAAATTTTCTATCTTTGACAGAGACAAAAAAATATTGACAGTGTTTAGTAGGTCCCCGTAATCGGCAAAAATTCGAAAGATTTTTCGACTCCATTACAGAGGGCGGAAAATGAAGTCTGAAATTGAGAATCTCTTGCAAAATGCAACAGAGTTGCACATGAAAGACAAAAATCTTTACCACTGAATCCAGCTCAGTATACGCAAGTGCGGACCCGCAAGTATTTCATCAAACATGTACAACAAATGGTGTTTTCATACACTACAGACCGACGGTACGCCGAAATAGATTGAGGTTTAATTAATTGTGAAAATCTTAAATAGGACAATGTCTTTTTGCATAATTTGTGGCGAAAATCAACATGGTAAAGAAAAATATCACATTTCGGAAGAGGGAAAATTAGGCACTTTTTAAAAACACCCATAAGAAAAAAGCACCTATAAAGGGCTTTTAAAAATCGAAAATAAGCACCTTTTTAAAAACGCTATGCACCCTGTAACAGTTACAATTAATACAGTAAAAATGAACTTACGGTTCACTTTAGATTTCCAAGCATGCTTTCCTGAAATGATGGACACAGGGAATATCTTGACTGATTATCCCATTCATTTTGTGCGTGATTTAATGATGATTGTGAATTCATGCTGGGATGGAGATGATTCAATCCTTTTCTGGACACTTTGTAAACTCTACCTTCATTACGGATAGCTGCGTTTGTTTGAAATTGGCTATAAATGTGATCGGTAATCTTTTGCTTGGTGGAGCTGCTAGGGATTTTATCTTCCTTCAGGGGCCAATCATGAGATTGAAAATAGTCAGCATTAAAATTCCTCATTTGCATTTCATTAGCACACACATAATTATTATTATCATACGTAAAATATGAATCACGTGAACAAGCATTAAATTTCTCGGGTGAATATGTGTTATTACTGATATGCATATCTGAGTTAGTTTGCGTGAATAATCCAAGCTCGCCAGCACAATTAGTATTATTTAAAACACCAATGTTACAGTTCATTTCTGTACCAGAAATAATGCTCGCAGTTTCGGCTTGAAGTTGATCGGTATGGTTCGCCTTCGGAAAAAGCATGGCATTTTCATAAAAATCATCAAACTGCGCGATGTTTTCAACCAAATGGTCAAGAAAACTTAAATCGATGTTCTGTTGGGAGCTAATATCGGGAATCGACTTGACGGCAGCATTCACCACTCTCGTGTTCAAAGCTGATTGGCTATCACCAGCAAAAGTAATTTTTGGATTGAAAGTGGAGAAATGATTATGACTAACGTAACTATTTACATTTCCGTGATCATTTTCAAAGCGTGTGAAAGTTTCATCAGGAATATTCAAAGACTCGGAGTTGATAGTGTCATAATTCTGAAGTGCACCTTGGGGTATCATAAAGTCGTCTCGTGCCATTTCAATATTGTCGGACGCATTGAACGAGCCAACGTTCTCCTGAAGATGATTTTGCGTGTAATTAACTTCGGAACTAGTATACTTTTGAGACTGGAAAAAAGTTTTTTCAGCATCGTAAGTATATTCATCGGGAGTCAAAAGTAAGTCTGATGTAAGAAAGGTAGAATTTAGAATGGCAGGAAAATCATCATTCTCCTGAATTACAGGTTCAACATAAGAAACAGGAGCATCATAAGAAACAGGTTCAACATAAGAAACAGGAGCATCATTCGAATATGAGATATATTGTACAGGACTGATGGGATCAAAACTCGAAGTCGTGTTATTACATTGTACAGTACAGTTCAATCTTTCTGGCGATACAGTTTTATTGCAGTTCATTATTTGAAATGCCTGATTATCATCATTAAATGTATTAGCCATAGAGTTTCTGAGAGAATTATCAGCAGAGCTCAGGGGGAAAATTTCAGAGCTTGAAGATAACGAGTGATTTCGGTTTTCATTGTAGTTCATTTTGCTCAAGTGTAAATAAGCACTACTATTTTTTGTATTTTCAGTTGTGTTTGATTCATCCATGTCCATGGGTGCATCAGATATGGAACCATCGATAACTGGGAGGCAGCTTTTTTGTTTGATGTTGTCATGCTCAACTAGAATAGAACATGTCCTGGTAGCCAGGCTGTCATCATTAGCTTTGATTAATGATTTAGTCGGTGATTTAGTTTCTTGAAGTGTCAGTTTTGATTCCTTGAGCTGTGGGGCATATCTATTTTGAAATTTTTTAAGCTCTCGATCACCATCTTCATCACTGTAAACAGAAGAAAATTTACGCATTTATGAATAAAAAGGATAATTAATAATCAAGAACTAATAACATCACTTGAAGTCAGAATGTTTTGTAATTACCGGACTTTAATACATATTTTAATAATATAAAAAATAAAGGTATTGGAAACTAAGCATACAAGCTATTATTAAACGCACGACTCGCTTAATAATAGTTAGAAAACTATTATTAAACGAGAAACACGTTTTCAAAATATGATAAACCATTATCGAGGACAATGACAGAAAAAGTGATATTAAAAATGTTTCAAGGCAATTTAACTGACAATTTGAATTTTACCTTTTGATGAGAATCTTTATAAATAATTCATCCAATTTTGATAGGAAAAAGAAAAGATTGGAATAAAATTATAAATTCTAATGATTTCATAGTTAACACTAACAAAATTCTAAAATTCCTAAAATTCCTAAAACTTTGCTTGCAAACTTGATTGAGTAAAAATCGAGTCTTAGTAGCTCATGGTGGCTCAACTTCTTTTTTGGCTTTAGTCAACATATTCATTTTTAACAAGCGATGTTATTATTTTGTAACAGATATTTGAAGGGTGAAATTTTTATATTGTTGTTGTTGATTATATTTTGATTGTACTGTTGATAAAATATTTATATTTAATTATGATTATTAAAAATTAAAGGCAGATATTTTGTTCTTCATTTAATTTCATTTATTTAAATTAATTCCGGAAAATTTATATACAACTTATAATACAAGTCATAAAAGCTGCAGTGATCTTATAATTTTGTTAAACTCTGTATAGATATTTGATCTGAACAATTTTCGATTCTTTAAAAAAAAAAATTACATATGAGTTGCTGCTTTATTTGTAACATTATGCATCATTGCTACGAAAAAATATTACCTGATCAAAATGTTGCAACAGATAAATTGTCGAACTTCCTTTGTTGAGTCTTTATATCTAATCTGGCCCTTGCTTTGCAGATATATGTAAGTTGCGTTACAAATTCGAAGTCTGTAAGTTATTATTCCAGTTCCATCACTGCTAGCAAACACTGCGGAATTAAATAAATTGTAATTATTTTTTTTTAAATACACACGACAAATTTAATTTTTTTGATTTTTACAGAACAATTAGTCATCAAAAATCACATGGTTCTTTCAATTTAAAATGGATCATGTGCTTTTTGAGGACTGATGAAAAATGGATTTGAATGGTTTTTTTTTTTTTTGTAAAAATGCATCGAATCAAAAACGACTAAACAATGCTCCAAACTTTTTGGACAAGATTACAGTAAGGCCATTTTGAAATTTCCCTTAATCTAACAAAATGGCGTAACAACAAATGGTGACTCATACATTAAAATCTATACTATTTTTATTTCTGATCATCAAATTTTCTCAATTTTGGTAGATTAGAAAGGAAAAACTATGTAAGTAAAACTATATATATATATATATATATATATATATCAAAAATTATCTTTGAGTTCGTATGTTCTTATAGCTTGGTCCAGCTAATGGGCTAAGCATCTCTTAAATTTTTTATTTTCAACCCTAACTTATTGGAAATTCACTCCTGAACGCGAAAATCTGAATGTGTTTCTTTTTAGCCAAATGTTTATTTATTTAGTTAGTTATTAAGCATTTAAATTGTCCAAAAAGGCCTCCGTAAGTGGCGCAATCAAAAACGATGCCTGATTGGTTATGACGTCACATGTCCTGAATTTAAACGTCCCGCCTCCATCAACTAAGGCTATTTCAATACTTTTTTTTTTTTTAGTTTTGATATCATTTATATCGTATGAACATCTTTTGCAAATTATTAGCAAAATTTTCGTGAATTAAATTTTCTTTTTTGAGGGTGCGTACAAAATAAATATTTTAAAACTTCAAACTGTTTATTTAACACTAAAATATCTGAAGAAATAATTCTGCAGCTCTTCACCGCGAATTAACATTTCTTTTTGGCTGAAATCAGTGGTGTTAAAAGTTCATAGAAAATATCTCATTCTACTTATTTTTAAATTAAAATGATGCTCTATTACATGCTAATTACTTAATTAAAAATCAGTCACAGTTTGGATAGAAATAGTACACATTTGGATACAGGATGGATGATTTTATTATTCGGTATTGCATTAAAGCAAATCATATTCTAGATTCATATATCTAGTCCATTGAAAAATATGAATTTATCCTCGTTACAAGCTATGTGCTAATGTTCAAGAATTCAAATAATGTAATTTAATTTTTTTTTTTTTTTTTTATTAGAGTTGAAGGATTTTCTTTTTAAGCGAATATAGTCTATGTCTTCTTTTTTTTTACTATGTATTACATATTTAAATACACATTAACGCTTAGATATAATATTTTTGGGGTAAATAGGAATTTCGCTGCAGTTAGAAATTATTTTTATTTATAATAAATTTTCATTCCTATTTTTGCAATATAGTATTTACAAAGTATGGTTAGTGTTGATTTCTCTCCTTATTTGTGCAAATCATTTATCAGTGCTTGCAATGAAGAATAGTAAAAGTAAGACATTATACATTTTTAATTATAAAATTTAATTAAAGTAGTTGAAAAACTCTCAGTTTAAGCAAACAGTATCGCCGAAAACGAATCAACACTTTCAATAATCTAGTCCACTAAATATATCTGTCCATCGTTAAGACACGGTTCCCAGCAGATCACCGAAGTCAAGCATCACTGGCTGCGGGTGGGTGACCACTTGGATCAGTTTGCGTAGGGACCGAGGGTGTGCGGTATTGGTCCTCGTTAAACTGTGCTACCGTAAAGTGCTCGACTTCGCGCGCATGTCGTCGGGCTACCGAAGCGGGGGTGCCATCCGCAGAGGATCAAAATTGTGATGGCATGTCTTCGGATCATCCTCCGGGATGTTTCCCAGACCGTCGCCAATACCCCATTGTGCAGTTCTAGTGCGACGTAGATTAACAACAACAACAACAACAACATATCTGTCCATTACCATCGTCATAATAAATCGTTAAACCATCGCTTAAAACTTCACTTAATGTTGTTTAATTTATCCACATCATTTCAGCGAACATCATTAAGGTAGACGTTTTTGTTTTACTAAAGATAAGGAATAATAATAAAAATTTAAACTTATACAAAATGAAAAGAAATTCTAATGCGCGCCGTTTATTATTTATTAATAAACTAAAAAACAGAGAGTATAGATTGAAGCAATTAAAATAAAGTAAATACTGGAGTACATAATTTACTTTTCTTTTAACTTTATTTTTTTTTGAAAGAATGAATTTAAAGTTTAGCAGGGATCACAAGTTTTTTGAAAGGTTACAGACATGAATTCACGCTAGAATAAATAAATAAAAAATATTAATAACTTAAGCTGCCCTACATTTTAATATCTGAAACTATTCTGTATGAAAAATTGATTCAACACTTCTTTCACTTAACACGAAAATAAATCTTCGAAATGAATTTGAAATAAACTTTAAAATTGAGATTAATATGGTAAAACAATGAAAGAAAAACTTCTTTTTATATTTATAACATATTATTTTAATAAGTAATACCAGACATACATAACTCATTCTAATACTTTTTTTACAAAGCTAAAAAAATCTTAAATATTCAGGACTAGAAAATTTCGTCAACTATTAATGATGTTTCAGTGGAAATTTAGTATTTTAGAAATAATTATATTATAGATAATATACCCTTATATTAAACCCACATTTTCATTAAGTTACATTAGGGCACAATTTTTTATACAAATAGTTTTTCGCCATCTAAAATAGTTGGATTTAATTACGAAAAATCAAACGAAAGCAAGAACGCATAGGCTTTTACAGCACAGCGATTGTAAATGAAGGGCAGATGGCCACTAATCAAAGCAAGAAGCGATTTACACAAATTCAGAAAAAGAGAAAATAAGTAAATAACATTTAAAATAATAAATCAAAATGGAAAAGCGTTAAAAGTAGCTAAAATCAAATTTGTTTTATTTTAATTTAAAGAGATAGGATGAATATATTAAAATATGTGTGTTAGCAAGACGGTACTTCCAATGGCGTAGCTAGGTAACCAAGGGCTCTTGGGCAAATTAAAAAATGGGGCCCCACTGCTATGTAAACTGATTAGGTTTTATCAAATAAAAATATGAAATATACAAACACTTTAAAAATGCTAAGCCACTTAAGCTCTTTTTTGTGCACTGCAGGGCAGGTAATAAAAATATTAAACAGTAACAATATAAATTACAATTAATAATTGGTGTAGGTTTGGCTAATAAAACGAAATAGAGAAGATTCAAGGGTTTATTATATAAAGGTCGGGCCTACCAACTGACTAAATAACAATTATATTTAAAATTTTTTCCTAGCTTTAGTTTTCGTAAAAGTATCAATGGCTTCGTTTAAATCCAGGCTTGATGCGGTTTTGTTTTCAATATGAGTGGTAAAATCAAATAAAATCGAACCACTATATTGACCAGTACAAAAAAGTTTATTGACATTAGCTTACTTACTCCTGATACAGCATTGATTTTTTAACCGTTCTCGAAAAAAAAAATCTTAACTCGAATTCACAATAAAACGCACATCGATGAATAATAAAACGCACGTATCAATCCGCACGTATCCGTCAAATTGACAACACTGCCAACCAACAGAAAGAATTTAGGGGAATTCCCTAGGCATAACTTTTGAAATTCTCTCAACTGAGTTGTCATGATTAAAGTGGGGTCATACCTGTCATATTTATTTTGAAAATGGGAGAAATTTCCAAAAGTTCAGTTTGATCGAGATTTCTGGTAAGGATTCGAGGGCCCTCTGAGCTTGAGGGCCCCGGGGCACTGCCCCGCCTAGCCCCTAGGTTGCTACGCCACTGGGTACTTCATCAGGAGACACACTGCCTGCCAACACACAGGAGCCTCTTGGTAGTCAGTGGTAATACCAAAAACTGAGAGGCTATGGGGCCTCTTTAATACATTTACCATAATAATTAAAATTTTAACAAATGTCAAACCTATTAAAATTTTGCGAAGATTACAGTTCGACAATGATACCGAGGTCTCAAGTATGCAAATGGCGTGATTTATTTAAACAAGGCCGTGAAGAAGTCCAAGAGACGCAAATTGCTCTTGCAACAGGACAATGTGACACCTTTCAAAACCGCAGCAAAAATTACATGCATTAAATTACTGGGAACAGTTGAACAATAAAATTACTGGGAAACAGTTGAACATCTTCCATATAGCCTGAACTTAGTTCCATCTAACTACCATTTGTTTGGACCCCTTAACCCGCTTTGTCCCGAATTTATATATTGAAATGATACAAGAAGTGGTTTTATGGAAAAAGTGGTATAATATATAATCGAAATTGATTGGTTTTTCTACTGTTAGAGCATTCAAAAAGTCTTTGATAGATCAAAAAGTATTTGCTCCTTATAATTCTAGATCTAATCAGAAATAACTAAATCCTCATGGTATCTGAGAATCTTTCAATTCACCCAGATAAATGAAAATACTGAAAAAAGTTTCCCATCACAATAAATTTCTTTCAAAAAAGGAACTGTCCTAAATATATGACGCTGGGCGTTAACCGGTTAAGGAAGCCTTGGGGAACAATTCTCATTTTGCCGAATGAAGTTCCTTATTTGATCAAATCATAAATAAGCTCCTGCAATTATCCTTAACACTAGATTGCCTAAGGAAGCCATTTTGACTGCTTTTAATTTCAATTAGAAAAACAATGATGTATATAATGACACAATTTCTTAGAATTTTGTGGCTTTTTGTACAACACATAATTTTTTATTTTATTTTTAATATTTACTAATAACTTGTCATGTAACTGTAAATAATATAAAATATGTTAAAAATTAATTGTAAACAATTTTTTTAAGCGTACACAATTCAGTCATTTTGACTGCTTTTGGGCAATATAGGTATAGGTATATGCTAATTTTCCGTCTTTCTAGTGTTACATACGTAATTAATGAACATCAGGAGCTGCTCTAAAGAAGTAATAGCAACAATTACCTTAACTGTTCCTATTTCACACAAAAGATTTTATTTTAATATTGAAAGTAGTAGTAAGATTTATGCTTTGATATTTTATTTTAAATTTAATAAATCTGAAATCTGAAAATGTTCATGACCATATTTATATCTTATCAACACTAGGTTTACGGACGTTTCTTATATACCTATCTCTACGAACACGCGTCAATTTGACGCATGAACGAATACATCACTAGGCTTACGGACGTTTCTTATATACCTATCTCTACGAACAAGCGTCAATTTGACGCATGAAAGAATACATTTAATTTAATAAATTCAATTTAGAAGATTTTTATCCACCACTATTTCTAAATAATTCGTAGGCTTATATGATTCACCACTTTTTATTTGCAAAATTTACCTAGTATTTACAGTTTTTTAAAATTATTTTGGCGTGTCTGGAGCAGTTGGCATCTCTGCACTAAGAAGCCAATGTAATTATATACTATAAGACAAAATAAATGAAAATATGAGATATATATTTATGAAATATTCTAGTATTTCATTTTTCAATACTCGAACTAAGCAACTGAAACCTTCAAAATCTGACATCAATTGATATTCTGCGTTTGTTCTTTCTATTATTGCTTATCGGCAATAGTTGTTTATCGCTTGTTTCATTTGAGATATCGATAATGCATAACGGATCGAAGTATTATCGGTACATTTCTATTTATTATTGATGCGATAGTTGCATATTTACTCAAAATTTTGTCTTAATCACTATCGCGTCAAATTGACGCATATCCGTAGAGGAAGCTATACCACAAAGAGAATTTCAATATTTCGACGCTTTTGAAGAAAATAGACTTCAATATATATTTACCTCGATCAATGGTCAAAAATCATTACAAGAGATAAAATGAAAAATTCAATCGGGTTTTATAATTTTCCTTACAAAACTCGAAATGCGTCAAAATGACGCGTCCCGTGAACCTAGTGTTAATTTAAACACCTAGTGTATAAACTCTTTTGATAATCATTAATGTGGTTTTAGGTGCTAATGAAATTTAAGAAATTTCTCTTTTCAGTTATTGTTGCAATTTTTATTTCGCTTTCACTGGAAAAAAATGTTTTTAAAAAAGTGCATGTGTTTGTGTTGGCCGATAAGAAATAAGTAAGATTTGTCTGATATAATATCAGCAAGCAAGCCTTTTTTTTTTTGAAGTTTAAATTATAATAAAACTAAGATTACTATCAGCTAAGGAAATAGAGGTGAGATAATTTTTTTATATATACTATATATAACATATTTTTTTTCATCGCTATTTAAAAAAGGTAAATAAAGGTGTAATATTGACTAATCTGATTTGAAAAAAAAAAAAGAGAAAATGAAATTCTGTAAAAAGGCCGAATGGCCAGACAAAATTTGTGGAATAGTGAAAATCTTGAGATCACAGCCGCCTCTCACCCCGGCAAGAGGTAGAAGATATTGTGCGCAGTTCGTTTATTAGTAACATACCCTACTTCTTTCCGGGATGCATGTAAACTCTCTTTACACACATAGTATCCCCTAGAGATTTTGAGTGCGCTGATTGGCTTTCTTGGCAACGCCATCTGTGACGTATGGCTATTTCATTCTGCCATGCTTGTTATTATCAGCATAGAGTGATTTTTATACTCCAGCTTTTGTGTACAAACTTGAAAAGTCGGTTTTTTCAACAGAGAAACTGCCTTCTTTATTTAAAAATGAAGTACAAAACATTTCCTCAAATACTATTACCCTTAGAAGCAATGTTCTAAATTTAGACGATTGCAACAAGTGGGTAATGGAATTTGGGGAACTTACCAATACGAAATGGAATTCTAGAACTTCCAAATCTCATAGACTAAGATTTTTTTGTTGGTAAATAACTAGTTTAGTTATTTTAAGAAGAATTTTGTATTTAATTTTTATGGGAAATGCATTTTTCGTTAAATTTATGATTATTACATGCATGAATTCTTATGAAGCTAATATCCCTCTAATTTATTGAATAACATTGAAATCGAATTTAATTGCCTTGCTTAATTCTTATACTCACTATAAAATGAAAACTGAATAGTTTTCACTTGATTTTTATTTAATTAAATTAATGTTCATCGAATTAAATTAATATTTTATTTATTTCTTGTGGATTACTAAAATTAAATTATAAATATTTCAAATTTAATATTCCTTAGTGGCGCCATCTATTATTATAAATTAAAACTAAGAGATCTGCATTATGCCTACCTATTTATAACTTATTTTTAATGTTTTTCTTTTTTATTTGTGAAATGTTTTATAATACCGAAAAACTATTAATTGATATCTAAGAAATCAAGCAATTGTCTTTTAAGATGCTTATTTTATTAATTTCGGATTGCATAATTCCCATCAAGATAAAAGTTAATGATTATGAATTGTCCATTAAATTAATACCATGAGTAATTAAAGAATAAATTTACAAAAAATTCCCTCTTTTAATTCTAGTACATTTCTATTGGATTGTAATTATTTTTTTGTTATTTAATTGCAGGAAATTATTTGTTTGTCACCACAGTGCGTTTATGAAAGTGCCGCAGGAGAAATGTAAAAGAAGTTTTTGAAAAATTCTAAAATTTTTTTGTTGAACTATAATTATTTTTTTTTTAACATTTTAGAATATTTTCCTCTAAGATACGATAAAATCCTTTTCAAATAATCAACCATAATTTTAAAAATTTAATTATATACATCTTAAAATCTCATACAATAAATTCAAATTTAACTGAGTGGTTCTGCAATCATACTTAATAAATTTAAGTAAGAGATTTTAAATTCTAAGTGCGTAAGGATATTCACAATGCTATTCAATTTGAATATTAATCAATTCTTATATATATATATTACATAAAAGCTGGCTAAAAACTTTAATTTATGTTTAATAATTATTATTATACTAATTTGATGTTTTACCAAAACATGATTGTTTACCTTGCATTTACCTAAAATTAATAACAAAATATTAGCATAAAATTTAAAGCAAATTAGATTTAAATAAATGTGTTATTATTAAAATAAAATTAATAACGCTGTTTAATTTTTTGAACGAAACTTTAACATTTGTCATAAAATTAGTATGAGAAATATACTGGAACTGATTTATGATTGATTTACATTTTGGGAACAAACTACGGAGAAATGTTATTGGGGAGGAGCTACAAAAAGACGTAACTGAAAGCAATGCCGAGAAAGCCAATCAGCGCTCTCAAAATCTCTTGGGGATACTATGTGTGTAAAGAGAGTTTACATGCTTCCGGGATTAAATAACTTCCAAAGCGTAGGAAAAAGTGCGTAGATGTTCATGATAGTTAAGTAGAAAAATTAGATTTGCATATTTTTTGTAAAGAATATTTCAATATTTAGTTATTAATAAAAAATCTCAATCAAGTTAACATATGTTATATACTGGTGAATTGGTATTCAATATTTATAGTGGTATTTATGCCACCATTATTCAGATTGCAGAATTTTTTATCTGTGATAGAATTCGATGAACAGATACCACTAATTGATTCATGCTGTTTATTTATTTATATCAGTTTTGCTCATTATATTTTTTTCTTCATTTTTTGTTTATAAATTTTTTCTTTTATTATAGCATTTCGCTCATTTTATTTTTCTTCTTCATTTTTTTAAAAGTATTTCGCTCATTATTTTCTTTTTCTTTATTTTTGCTTATTAAATAACTACCAAAGCGTTGGGAAGACTGCGTAGATGTTCATGATAGTTATGCAGAAAAATTAGATTTGTATATTTTTTGTAAAGAATATTTCAATATTTAGTTATTAATAAAAAATCTCAATCAAGTTAACATATGTTATATACTGGTGAATTGGTATTCAATATTTATAGTGGTAGTTAAGCCACATTATTCAGCTTCCAGGAAAAAGAGTCGTTGAATAGAAATAGTGATCCTTCTACGACTGCTGATTCTTCTACAATTAACGTCGCAGGTTGCAAAATTTAACTTCTTCAGCGCGGAGATACTCCACGCACTATTTTTTTAAAATTTTATTTTCATCTGGTTCTTTATTAAGTAATTTATGATTTTTGTTCAATAATTGCTGGCCTACATCAGACTGGAATAATATATGGACACCAATCAACATCCTCTTCAACGAATTCATCGAACTTCTTCAACTTATGGTATATGCTAATCCAACCTCTTCAGCAAAATATAAATTTCATCTAATATAATCAAAACTATTTTCTTGATAGGGGTAAAGCTAAAAGAACATTAAACAATAATGGCGGTAATATTTAATTGGTTTTAAACAAATCTTAAGGAAAGAAAGCGATTAAATAATATTTTTCCCCTGATTAATGTATAACATCAGAATAACATCGGAATTGCGACGTCACTTCAGTGCAGCAAAATTATGCCAAACTTGAAGTTTTAGCTAATGAAAAAGAAAATAAATATGAAATATTTATCGAAATACAGTTCGTATCCAGTGTTAGTCTAATCAAAAAAAAAAAAAACTTTTAAATCAAAAAATGTTAGATAGGAGAATACATAAGAGATGTGTTGTTAATTGAAACGGATGACTTACTAGCTTTTTGTGCAAAGAGAGCTATTGGCACATCTGAACTATGAATATACTGATAAGCTGAAATTCCCATAACATCTCGGGGCATATAACCAGTCATGGTGGATATTCTAGATAAATAAAAAAAAAGACAGATATATTATAACTTTCAAGACTTCATATATAAAATAAAAATTAAAAAAATCTTGAATTTAACATTAAATTCGAACATATTTTGAAACTAAATCGCTGTGCCGACAAGAAAGTGTTTCTTCGTAAAATTCAGATTCAAGAGTAAAAAATATTAGTCTTATTAGACATAAACCTTTGTCTGGATCAGGGGTTTCTAATTTACATGAGGACGGGGCCACAATTAAAAACACAAATCAAATGGCGGGCCACAACTTTATCAAAATTTTATGTAGGACTCTTTTATGTTTGAAGAACATTTATTATTATTGTCAGATTTTTACCAAGTTGTACAAAACAAAAGTATTGAATTGCAAATTAAAATAAGAAGTATATTTTTAAAAATATTTAATTGCATATTAAAAATACAGTAACTTTAGTGTGCACCCATGTAGTAAACAATTAATGTGCAACAGATATCAAATTGTTAAAATAGTATACAACTTTTAAAAGGTTGGTATTAAAACTTACATGGTATCACACAAAATGTTCAATAACAAAACTGAGGTTTGTCTGCTGCAACCACCAGAGAATAAATATTTACATTTTAAATTTCAAATTTACAAATGTGTGTGCAAATATTTTCGTCCAAAATGAGTGATTTCAAAAAGTTAAATCGGAGAATTTCTGCTAGAAAATGTCTGATAGACATATGCTAAATTAAATTCACAAAATACAAAAAAATGAAATAAAAAAGAGCAACATACACGATTATTTTTGTATTTGAATAAATATTTTCCTGGATGCAAAACCTGAAAAAAAATTTTTTTTTGCACTGTTGGTATGCTAAATTTCACAGAAACGAAGAAATTAGGTTTTTATTAAAGAGAAAAGTATTTTAAACCCATCTATATTTTTTACGAAAATTGTCCACAAAAAAATGACAACTAATATATTTCAGTTCACAGGCCATAAAAAAAGGCTTCGCGGGCCGGATGCGGCCCCCGGGCCGCCAGTTGGAAACCACTGGTCTAGATGGTTAGATTCAAAATTTACCCACAAGAAGCGAAACTAACATTTCCTGGTAATTTTAAAACAAAGTTATCGACTAAGTATTTTTATCAGGGGAAATTTAAAATTAATAGCTATGCAATAATTTTTTCTTGCTTTTAAAATTTATCTTAATCATTGAAAATATCTTTTACGTGCAAAACTAATGTTAAATATCCAAATACTTTTAAAGAATAATTACATTTTAAAATTTATAATAAATACAGTTAGAGCTTCTATAAAGTTGTTTACGCTATTGTATGTCAAATAATCTGCTAATTAATTTGATAAAAGGTTAGTTATTTTGCCAAGTTATTCCGACAAGAAAATTTCACGAAGTAAAAGTACTTCCATATTTAAAGTACACTTCCATATTTAAAGAACTGATCAATAATTTTGGCAACTTTGGAGTTGTTTGTCTCCTTTAACTGAGCAGGGGGACGAAGCAGAGCTTAATACTGCTGTGATGCATAGATACTAAGAAATTTAATCGACATACTGCTAATAAAATTTTTATTGCTTATTTATCATCGCTTTTATAATAAAATATACCAAATTAACAGTAAAGTTAAAATAATAACAAATTTTCAAAGCAAAAATCAAGTTTAAATTTGTCATAAGAGGTTAACCGATACATTTGTTTCACTTTTGAAGCAGTATGAATAATTCTATAACTATAATTTGTTGTCAAATACGTTTATTGAAGTTATACTTCTTATGCGACTTCCAACAAGGTTGCGTTAAACGTTTAACGCTACATTTTTATTGGCCGGGAAATCACGTGGTAGGATCCAGTTTTCCCTTATTCATTTCCATATTGTTTTGGTTCTCACTAGCATAAAAATAATAAAAGTCATAAAAGTATTGTTTTTCCAAAAATATTTTTTTAGTTCGTTTTGATACATATCATTTAGTTTGTTTTGATATCATCGAATTAAAAAATACTACCCTATTAAATTATATGTGTAATATAATTTAATAGGGTAGTATTTTTTAGTCAAGGTACGTCTCTTGTGAATATCAATTGATTGTTAGGTTTTCTCTTCTGAAATTACATTATGACGCATTCGCATACATTATTAATAGAAATACATTTTCCAGGGCGAGACGATGAGTCAACCACAAGCACTTCCACTGGTTCAAGAGGTCCACGAGGGAAAAATGCACAATATTACCGTGATTACAGAGCACGGAAGCGCGCGGAGCGGGAAAAAGAGTCGTTGAATAGAACTAGTGATCCTTCTACGACTGCTGATTCTTCTACAATTAACGTCGTAGGTTGCGAAGTTTAACTTCTTCCGCGGGGAGGGACTCCACGCACTATTTTTTTATTATGAGTTATCTTCCAATTTAATGTTTATTATTTTAGCCACAGTAATGGCGCCGTGTAATTATGTTATGCATAACTTTTAATAAGTTTCACTTCACTACTCATTTAACCAACATCTTGTTAAGAGCACTAGCTCACCAACTAATATTTACTAACTGTCTTCATTTAAGAATAAACTTATGTATACATATATAATTAGCATTTAGGAATGTAAATGCTTTTAGCAAAATCTTTCAACAAAAAATAAGTACATTTTAAGTACTTTTTAATCACTATATGCATTAACAAAATGCAAAATAATTTTCAAAGACTTTACATGATCATGATAAAAAAAAAAAAAAAACTAATTTCTGAAAAAGAACTCTTTTCTTGATTATATTAGCCATTTTAAAATGTTCAAGAGATTCTTCGCTTCGATATCAGAAAGTGGAAAAAGAAGCCCGAAATTGAGAATGCAGCAGAGTTGCACATGAGAGTGCAATAATCTTACCGAACCCAGCTCAGCAGACGGACATGCAGACTCGCAAGTATGTAATCAAACATGTAACATGATTGGCGCAATCATACGTTACGGAAAGAAGGTACGTCGAAATGGATTGCGGTTGATTGAATTTCGAAAACGTTGAATAGAACAATGTGGAAACCACGCTTTTGCATAATACGTGGCGAAAATTGGCATGGTAAAGAGAAAAATTTCATTTTCGAGAAGGAAAAACTAAGCACTTTTTAATAACACCCAATGAAAAAAAAAGCATCTTTAAAGGCTCTTAAAAAACGAAAATCGAAAATAAGCACTTTTTAAATACGCTACGCACCATGTGTTAGAAAAAATTAGGGCAATAGTTACAATTAAGATTGCTTTGATTTTTTTAAATAAAAATTATTATTTTGAATTAGGAAACAATCCTCTTCAATGCGAAGAAAAGAAACACAGAATACTACCCGAGCAAAGCTTTATCAGTAAAATGTAAACTGCTGTTTGTAGAAAATGCAACACCATGAAAGAATCATCAGAATCAAATGAAATTTAATGCAGAAACGACTTGTACTGATACAAATAAATGATGAAATTTTCAAAACAAAAGAAACAAATTAAGCGTCCGAAATCAGTATTTGGTGCAGCCACCACGCGCTGCAATAAGTGCTGCTATACGACGTGGCATGGAGTCAAACAGATGTTGAATATCTGCTTGAGGAAGAGAATTCCATATCGCTTGTATGCGCAACCAAAGTTCGTCTTTGGAAACTGCAGGACGCGGATCACGAGTGAGACGCCGACCAACCATATCCCA